GGGGGGGGGGTTGTTTGGTTTTTGCTTTGGTTTTATAAACTACACATGCCCCCAAAATTTTAATTCATTGTCATTCAAAGACTAAGTTAAAGGTATTCCTTATACATGCCAGTAGGGAGCTATTTGCCAATATTTATCAAAGGTACAAAGTCATGCACCCTTTGACCCAGGATTTAATTGGTACAGGTGTACTGATATGTGTGCAAAATTACAACATATGCAGTTGCTCTAGGGTCCCAGTAATTGTGTTATTCATGCAGTGTTATTTGGAATAGCAAAAGATTGGCAAAATACAGACATCCATAGATAGGAGACTGGTTAAAGAGAATACAGTTTATCCGTAAACTATATTGTGTGTACCATAAAAAGTACTGTGGGCCCTGGCTGGGTGGCTCAGTTGGTTGCAGTGTTGTCCCGTGCACCAGAAGGTTTTGGGTTCGATTTCTGCTCAGGACACATATCCAGGTTGTCGGTTTGATCCCCAGTCAGGGTGCATATGGGAGGCAACTGATAGATGTTTCTCTCTCATATTGATGTTTCTCTCTCTCTTCTTCTCTCTCTCAAATCAATGAAAACATCTTCAGGTGAGGGCTGCGGGAGAAACAGGACTGTGGAATTTTGTGGTGCCATAAATAACAATAAGGAAACTATGCCCGATATGGAGCTACCTCATTAATATGTATTGAATGAAAAATACAAGGTGCAGATGTTATCATTTGCGTAGGAAAAGTGGAGTTCTTCCTATTCCCTTCCCCTTTCTTCCTCTTTCCCTCTCTCCTTCCTTCCTGAATAATTTATTCCAGAGCCATGTAGAGTCGAGCATGGTAGGCTCAGTGTGAGGGGGGCCAGAGGGAGAGGCGGCTGCAGTAGCCCTGCGCCATGTCAGAGCCTGAGTGGAGTGAGGAGGGTGTCCGCCCGGGAGTGGCCCAGAGCAGGGTGTCCGAGCCCAGGCAGGGTAAGCAAGGCTTCTACTCGGGGAGCAGCATGGGTGTCAGAGCCCACAGAGTGAGGGTGGCATCTGTACGCTCACAGGCATGATGAGAGCCTGGTTTCTCACTGTCAGAGCAGGAGGGTCCAGACATGAAAAGAGAACATGAGAACGAGCCCTGTGGTGTGGCCTGGAACTGGAGGTGTTGGACACCTGTGTTTTCCCTCTTTTGCTCTTGCAAATAATGTCATATTGAGTAACTTTGTATGTTGTCACTTTGCACAGATTTTGGCAAGTTACTTTTCCAGTGGCTCAGGAGGAAACAGTTCTTTGTACTAGTCTCTCAGTTTTTCCGTAAGCTTGAAATTATTTCAAAATGAAAAGGAAGAAATTGGAAGGAAGTGAAAATGTCTGTATATACTGTATAAACATTAACATTGTATATACTGTGCAAACTATATATACAATGTTAATATACTGTATATACTGTATAAACTGTATAAACATTAACATTGGTTGCCACTGGGAAGGGGAACAGGTAGGCCGGGGCGGAGAGGGAAGTCCACTGTGTGGGTGCCCTTTTGTACGTTGTGGAAGTGGAAGTGGTTTTGTAAGTGGATTACCAGGAGAGGAGCTAGGTTTTGTGGGGCAAAAGTTTATATAATTTAAGAAGCCAGATTTAAGAAAAAGAATGCAAACTTGGGTACAAAAATGAATATTTATTTTAAGAAAAGAAATTAGAACATATTACTACTGTCTTGTAGACGCAGGTACCTTCCTTCTGAGATCTCTAGCAGTTTAGAAGAAATGCTCACACAGAAATGCTTCCCAGCTGCATTCTTGAGCACCACACAACTCCCCGCTATCACCTTTGCAAGTGGGGGGCCCTTGAAGCCTCACCTTTTTGCACTTCAGATTTAGACAAGTTAATTTAGATATCTTTGTATTTTTTATTGTAATTGATCTCAGATGCACAGGTTTGGGTTAATTATTATACTTGATTTAGGACACACAGTCTTCATTGGTACCTGAATGGTCATCTTTCATTTCATTAAACTGAAGAATAAACACCCTGGAACTTACCATCAAACAAGAACCAGAGTCTTAGTAATATTTTATCCCTACCTAGTTACTTTTTCCCATCTCGTCTCCTGCTTTTCCCCAGAAGTAACTCTGGCCTAGAATTTTTCGGTTTTTATGAAGGACATAGGCATACCTAAGGAATAGGTTGTTTAGTGTTTGTTTTTGAACTTTGTAGAAAAGATTTTGTGCTCTGTGAGCTTGTCTGGGATTTGATTTTTTATCACTCATCTTCACGGTACTGAGGTTCACCAGTGTTGCTGGCTATGTAGCTTGTTCATTTTTACTGCTATAGAATATTCCACTGTGTGGCTATGTCACAGTGGATTTATCTCCTCTTCTGATGGTGGGCCTCTGACTATTATAAATGGGCCTGCTATGAACATTCTCGATCATGTCTCCTGGTGGTGTGCCTGGGCCAGCGCTTGGCCTGTACTCAGAAGCAGCGTTCTGGGTTGTAGAGTGTGAGAGTGCTCCACTTGATAGGGGAATGTCAGATTGTTTTTGAAAGCTGTCCCAGTTTACACTCCCACCAGCAATGTACAAGATTCTGTTGATCCCTATCTTCTCTAGCAATTGGTAAGATCAGACTTCGGGATTTTTGCCAATCAAATGGTTATACAAGTATATCGCAGTGTGATTTTGATTTGCATTTCCTTGATCACATATGGAGTTGAGCATCTCTTCATATGTTTATGGACCATATTTGTTCCCCATTGTGTGACATTCCTGTTTGTTCAGCCTTTTTTATTGTTTTTTCTCATTTTTTTCCTGATTTATAGTTATTCTTTTATATTAAACCAATCTTTTTATTGGATATATAAACTGCATCTATCTCCTTTCAGTATATAAGTTGTCTTTTCTTTAAGAGCTTTTTTTTTTTAAATGCTCACCCAAGGGTATTTTTTCCATTGCTTTTCAGAGAATGAAAGGAAGGGAAAGGGGGATGGGGGGGGGAGAGAGGGAGAGAGAGGGAGGGAGAGAGAGAGAGAGAAACATTGATGTGAGAGAGACACACAGATCGGTTGCCGAGGTACGCGCCCTTGGCTAGAATCTAACCCAGGACCCTTCAGTCCTCGGGCCGACGTTCTAACCACTGAGCCAAACTGCTAGGGCTAAGAGCTACTTTTTATAAACAAAAATTTTTCATGTTAATGTAGTCACATTTATTAAATGTTTTCCTTTATGGTTAATGCTTTTTGTGTCTTGTTTAAGAAATTCATTTTTCCCCTAAGTGTTGGCTGTTTGTAGGAATGATGGACGAAAGAAGCAGGAAGAAGATCATGAATAATTTGAATCCATAGTCAACTTAAAAATCCCATTCCAGGCCGTGGGTTATATTTCAATCTCACTAAACCTTTCAGGATCCTAGAGGTACCAGATAGGTCAGTTATAATTTTACTTCCTTCCCTTACTCTTTCTAATGGAAATGGTAATGAACCATGAAATGGCCAAATGGTAGAGATAAGATACCTAGGAAAGATAATACAATATTGAGATAGTTGAAAGTTGATTCTAAATTTGGCTGAAAAATGAGAGAGAGACTGAAGGCACAAATATGAATCTATTGCCTTTCTGTGAATATTTCTATTTAGAGAAGTCCCATCAGGTTGAAGTCAGTTGACTTATAATCATCTTTTGTTTTTCTGTTTGTTCTTTTAGGCTTATTTATAAAGCTGGATCCGGAAAAAAAGTTAGACATAAAAGAGCTGCTGGTGAATTCTACTCCACCTGCATAAGGCTCTCCTTCCTCCGGAAGACCCAGTCCTGCTCTGCTCGCTCACTGTTGAGCCCCCCATATGGTGAAGCCTGCTAACACTGCCGTCCTGAACAGTCTGCTGAACACAACTCAAGGAGCTCTTCCACCTTCTAAATTTTTTTTTTTGATTAATCTTCACCCAAGGATATTTTTGCCATTGATTTTTTTTAGAGAGTGAAAGGGAGGGAGGAAGAGAGAGAGAGAGATCCCACACACACTGGGATCGAATCTGCAACACAGGTATGTGCTCTGGACTAGGAGTCGAACCCACGACCCTTCAGTGCACGGGCCAATGCTCTAAACACTGAGCAAAATGGGACAGGGCTCTACCTTCTAAACTTCTTAACACAGAAACAGTTCCTATGAGAGTATCAGCAATTCTTTGTGTGTCCTTAGAATAAGTGATTTTCCTGAAGTTTGAATGGGCTCCTTAAGGTAATACCTGCAAACTTGGGAATGCCAGAAAACCAAAGGAAGGAACAAATATGTGGATGCATATATGCATGTGTGAATAATGTGTGCATGTGTGCATTCATGATTGATAATTTACAAAGCCAACCTTGTATCTAAAATCGTTTTGACTACAGGAGGAAACACAACTAGTTCCCATAGGATTCTAGGGATTACACCACTGTGCCATTTTTAAAATAGGCTGTGCAGTCGTGTCTTACAAACAGCATAAGTTGTCATCACTGGAAGGACCCTGGATTTGTTTCCTGTGTCTTAATCTATTCAGGCCTCTGTAAGAAAATTCCACAGACTGGGTAACTTATAAACAACATAAATGTATTGCTTATGGTTCTGGAGGCTGAACAGTCCAAGATCAAAGCATCAACATGGTCACCTGGTGAGAGTTTATTTCTAGGTTCATAACTGGCGCCTTCTCACTGCGTCCTCATGTGGAGGAAGGGGTGGGGCTAGGGAACTCTCTGGATCCTCTTTTATGAGGGCACTAATCCCATTCATGAGGGCTCCATCCTCATTAGTTAAGAATCTCCCAAAGGCCCCACCTATTAGTACTACCACATTGGACATAAGGGTTTCAACATAAGAATTTGGGGGGGGTCACAAACAATACCATAGCATTAGGGCTGGCATAGCAAAGTACCACTGACTGGGTAGCTTCAAACAACAAAAACTCATTGTCTCACAGTTGTGGAGACCAGAAGTCCAAGGTGTGAGCGAGGCCATGCTCCTTCTGAAGGCACCAGGGAAAGAACTTCCATGCCTCTCTCCCAACTTTTGATGCCTCGGGCATCCCTTGGTTTGTAGACACAAGCATGCCTCAATTTACTATGTTTCACTTTATTGCCCTTTGCAGATGTTTTTTATTCACTGAAGGTCTGTGGCAATCCTGTGTCACAGGATTTCTTATAGGCACGATTTTTCTAATAGCGTTTGCTCACTTCATGTCTCTGTGTCACGTTTTGGTAATTCTCACACTATTTCAAACTTTTCATTACTATTTATTTTTTATGGTGATCTCTGACCCCTGATCTTTGAAGGTACTATTGTACTTGTTTTAGGGTGCTATGAACCCTGCCCCTGTAAGATGGTGAACTTAATAAATGTTTGTTCTGACTACTACACTGACTGGCTGTTCCCCCATCTCTCTCCTCAGGCCTACCTATCCCATGAGACAACAATATTGAAATTATGCCAGTGAATAGCCCTACAATGGCCTTTAAGTGTTCAAATGAAAGGAAGAGTCACATGTCCCTTACTTTAAATCAAAAGTTAGAAATCATTAGCTCAGTGAGGAAGGCATGCTGAAAGCCAAGATACGCTGAAAGCTAAGCCTCTCATGCCAAACAGAGCCAGGTTGTGAAAGCAAAGGAAAAGTTCTTGAAGGAAATTAAAAGTGCTACTCCAGTAAACACACAAATGATAAGAAAGCAAAACAGCCTTATTGGTGATATGGAGAAAGTTTTAGTGGTCTGGATAGATCAAACTGGGAGGGGGAGTGTGGGCCCACACTTGGACAGGGCTATTGCCTCCCACCGTGTTCCAGGTGCCCACCCACTCCTGCCAAGGTGCCTGCGGGCTAAGCCTTCAGCAAAACCTAATCCAGAACAAGGCCCCCTGCACCTAGAGTCCCAAAAGCATAAGAGGAGCCAAGAGGGTGAGTTTCTTTGTTTNCAATACCATAGCATTAGGGCTGGCATAGCAAAGTACCACTGACTGGGTAGCTTCAAACAACAAAAACTCATTGTCTCACAGTTGTGGAGACCAGAAGTCCAAGGTGTGAGCGAGGCCATGCTCCTTCTGAAGGCACCAGGGAAAGAACTTCCATGCCTCTCTCCCAACTTTTGATGCCTCGGGCATCCCTTGGTTTGTAGACACAAGCATGCCTCAATTTACTATGTTTCACTTTATTGCCCTTTGCAGATGTTTTTTATTCACTGAAGGTCTGTGGCAATCCTGTGTCACAGGATTTCTTATAGGCACGATTTTTCTAATAGCGTTTGCTCACTTCATGTCTCTGTGTCACGTTTTGGTAATTCTCACACTATTTCAAACTTTTCATTACTATTTATTTTTTATGGTGATCTCTGACCCCTGATCTTTGAAGGTACTATTGTACTTGTTTTAGGGTGCTATGAACCCTGCCCCTGTAAGATGGTGAACTTAATAAATGTTTGTTCTGACTACTACACTGACTGGCTGTTCCCCCATCTCTCTCCTCAGGCCTACCTATCCCATGAGACAACAATATTGAAATTATGCCAGTGAATAGCCCTACAATGGCCTTTAAGTGTTCAAATGAAAGGAAGAGTCACATGTCCCTTACTTTAAATCAAAAGTTAGAAATCATTAGCTCAGTGAGGAAGGCATGCTGAAAGCCAAGATACGCTGAAAGCTAAGCCTCTCATGCCAAACAGAGCCAGGTTGTGAAAGCAAAGGAAAAGTTCTTGAAGGAAATTAAAAGTGCTACTCCAGTAAACACACAAATGATAAGAAAGCAAAACAGCCTTATTGGTGATATGGAGAAAGTTTTAGTGGTCTGGATAGATCAAACTGGGAGGGGGAGTGTGGGCCCACACTTGGACAGGGCTATTGCCTCCCACCGTGTTCCAGGTGCCCACCCACTCCTGCCAAGGTGCCTGCGGGCTAAGCCTTCAGCAAAACCTAATCCAGAACAAGGCCCCCTGCACCTAGAGTCCCAAAAGCATAAGAGGAGCCAAGAGGGTGAGTTTCTTTGTTTAGGGGATTAAATATTCCAAATTTCACACCCTTGCAGTGGCCATGCCTATTCTGGCCAATGACCTGTTTCCAGGTGTGACTGACAGGCAAGTACCTTCCTGGGGTCATCCCAACTTTACTGAGCATGCGTCTATTTTCCCTATCCACTCCCCCAGCGATCTGCGGGGGAAAAGACCAGTGTCTCCCTAGGAGTGTAAAGCTTTAGCTTCCTGGTGAAGATGTCCAAATGACATGCCTATAATATTAGGCCTCCCCTGTGCTCCCTTCCTGTTATTAATAACTAGGTTAATTACAATGGTATCACATGCATGTTTTTGAATGTGTATGTCCACATCTGGGTATATAACTGGAGTATGTCTGTGTGAGTACGTGACTGTGTGTGAATGCATATATGAGTGAGTGTGGCCATGCATGTTTGTGAGTGCATGCAATGCACATGGCCATGTGTGCACATGCACACCTGGTGTGTGCATTGTAAGAGCCAGGGAACTCTGCAGCTGCCGGAAGTGGGAGCAGGGAGTAAAGCACTGGGGTCCACAGTGTCCAGGAACCAAGCCAGCTCAACCTAACAGAGGGCACTGGGGAGGGAGCAAGACTTTCTCTGCACCAAGGAACTCTACACTGGAGCAGCTGTGGAATTGTTCTTTGCTGACAGGGCCACCAAGGCACAGCAGTGATGCCATGTGCCCAGTGTCCAGCTGTGGACAGGAGACCTTACCTCCAAGGAAGCCACATCTCCCAGAGTCCCCTGCCCTGCTGAAGGCCAGGAGCCACAGCCTCAGGGAGGAAGACCCTCCCAATGAGTTCTTTATCTTCACAGACAGAGCCTAAGGCAGAGTCCAGAGCCAGACATCCCTGAACAGCTGGGCTCGGTCAGGCGGTTTAACATGAAACTTCATCTTGCCATGGGCACTCAAAGAATGGAATGCTAAAATTGCCCCTCATTCCGCAGAAGTATGAAGACAGAGCCCTCCCAGCCCCAGGGAGGAAGAACCAGTTTTTCAGATACTAACCATTCCGGCCTCCTGTTTGGGGCTCTGGGAACTCTTGTGAAAGATGAGAAGAATTTGGAAAAGAGAGGGGTCTCTCCCACCCCATCTATATGGAAGTCGGAGGATTGGCTGGGGAGACTGGAGGGGAAGGGTGGCTACAGGGGGGTTAGCAGGGAAATGACCCCAAAAAGGAGAGGGTTTCTAGTTTGATAAACACAGAGGTAAGGGCTGGAGGTGGGAGAGCCCTGGGTGGCTCCTCTGTGAGGGACAAGGTTCAGAAGCTCCTCCAGGAGCCACGTGTGAGCTGAATCATCACCTAGCCAGTGTCTCCCTTCACCTGCTCCCAAGGCCTGGTGGTGGTGCCTCCTGGGGCCTGACGAGGGCTTGCCTTCACAGGACCCCACCACACCCCACCCTCTCCAGTAACTTATCAGCAGGACCGATGCACCATCAGGGTCACAGGACTTGGCTTTGTACCCATCTGATTATCCTGTGTGGACACACTCTCCACCCCCAGGATGCCCATAGCCCTAAGGTACAGAAACAAAGATCACCTGTCACCATACTTGGAGGGCTCATGAGCTTGGCCCCTGATCTGGTTTAACAGTTAGTGACACCCCTGTTTCAGAGTTTTCAGGAGATAAAGGGGCTCAGGATATCATGGGGGTGGGTGTTAGGCATTTCATACGCTTTTAAAATGACTGCGACCTTACTTTGTACCCCAAGCTGGTGGAGCAGATGTGCCAGTGGCACCGTGTTGCCGTCCCATTGGTTTGGAGAAACCACTTCTCAAGTGATTGTCTGGGTTTGAGAAAAAAGGGATTTCAGGCCTGGCTAGGGTCAACAAGCCCCAGCCTGAGTGCACACACACACACCCTTCAGCATTTGTCACTTTCTAAGCTTAGAGGTCCTGCCTCTGCCTCTAAGCGTTTCACAAATAGGAGTTCAGTTCCAGTTGAGCTGTGGTAGGGGTTCTCCCATTTCTGCT